TTTCTGGTTGCTTGTAATATTTTCTCCTTGATCTGGAAACTCTGGAATTTGGCTACAATATTCCTAGGAGTTTTCCTTTGGGGATCACTTTCAGGAGGAGATCAGTGGATTCTTTCCATTTCTATTTTGCCCTCTGGTTCTAAAATATCAGGACAGTTTTCCTTGATAATTTCTTTTTTTATGGTAATTTTAATTTTTTTTTTGTTTTCAACATTTACTCCAACACGATTTTGAGTTCCAAATTTTCACCCCATCTCGCCCCTCCCCCCTCCCCAAGATGGTATGTATTCTAAATACCCCTTCCCCTAGTCTGCCTTCCCTTCTATCTCTCCCCCCCCTTCTCTTATCCCCTTCCCCTTCAATTTTCCTGTAGGGCAGGATAGATTTATGTACCCCATTTCCTGTATTTCTTATTTCCCAGTTGCATGTGAAAACATTTTTTTAAACATGTGTTTTTAAAACTTTGGGTTCCAAATTTTCTCTCTTCCTCCCTCCCCACCCACCCTCATTGATAAAGCAAGCAACTAAATATAGGTTATGTATGTGCAATTATGCAAAACACTGCCATAGTAGACATGGTGTGAAAACTAACTCTATTTCCCTTATTCCTAACCCACCCACCCATTTATTCTATTCTTTCTTTTGACCCTGTCCCTCCTCAGAAGTATTTGCTTCTGATTACTCCCTTTCCTGATCTGCCCTCCTCTCTATCATTCCCCTACTCTCTTGTCCCCTTCTCCCCCCTATTTTCCTGTAGGATAAGACAGATTTTCACACCCAATTGAGTGTGGATGTTATTCCCTCCTTAAGTCAAATCCTATGAGAATAAGATTCACTCATTCCTCTCACCTTCCCCTGTTTCCCCTCCACTGTAAGAGCCTTTTCTTTTCTGTTGTTTTTTTTCTTTATGGGATAATTTACCCCATTCTATCTCTCCCTTTCTCCTTCTCTTAGTATATTCCTCTCTCACCCCTTAATTTTATTCTCCAGATATGACCCCTTCATTTTCAACTTACCCTGTGCCCTCTATCTATCTATATCTATATATACATATGTATAATTTTTTCCCCTACAACTACTCTAATACTGATAAAAGTCTCATGAGTTACAAATATCATCTTTCCATGCAGGAATGTAAACAGTTCAACCTTAATAAGTGTCTTATGATTTTCTCTTTCCTGTTTACCTCTTCATGTTCCACTTCAGTCTTGTATTTGAAAATCAAATTTTCTATTCAACTCTGGTCTTTTCATCAAGAATGCTTGAAAGTCCTCTATTTCACTGAATGACCATTTTTTTCCCCTGAAGGATTATACTCAGTTTTGCTGGGTAGGTGATTCTTGGTTCTAATCCTATCTCCTTTGCTCTCCGGAATATTATATTCCATGCCCTGTGGTCCCTTAATGTAGAAGCAGCTAAATCTTGTGTTATTCTGATTGTGTTTCCACAATATTTGAATTGTTTCTTTCTGGTTGCTTGTAATATTTTCTCCTTGGTCTGGGAACTCTGGAATTTGGCTACAATATTCCTAGGAGTTTTCCTTTGGGGATCTCTTTCAGGAGGAGATCGGTGGATTCTTTCCATTTCTATTTTGCCCTCTGGTTCTAAAATATCAGGACAGTTTTCCTTGATAATTTCTTGAAAGATGATGTCTAGGCTCTTTTTTTGATCATGGCTTTCAGATAGTCCAATAATTTTTAAATTCTCTCTCCTGGATCTATTTTCCAGGTCAGTTGTTTTTCAATGATATATTTCACATTGTTTTCTAATTTTTCATTCTTTTGGATTTGTTCTACAGTGTCTTGATTTCTCATAAAGTCATTAGCTTCCAATTGCTCTATTCTAGTTTTTAAGGAAGTATTTTCTTCAGTGAACTTTTGGACTTCCTTTGCCATTTGGCCAATTTTGCTTTTTAGGGCATTCTTCTCCTCATTGGCTTTTTGGACCTCTTTTGCCATTTGGGTTAGGCTATTTTTAAGGTGTTATTTTATTCAGTATTTTTTTGGGTCTCCTTTAGCAAGTTGTTGACTTGTTTTTCATGATTTTCTTGCATCACTCTCATTTCTCTTCCCAGTTTTTCCTCTACTTCTCTTACTTGCTTTTCAAAATCCCTTTTGAGCTCTTCCAAGGCCTGGGACTGATTCATATTTTTCTTGGAGGCTTTGGATGTAGGAGCTTTGACTTTGTTGTCTTCTTCTGGTTGTATGTTTTGATCTTCTTTGTCACCAAAGTAAGATAATATAGTCTGACTCTTTTTGCGCTGCTTACTCATGATCCCGGCCAATTACTTGAGTTTTAAACTGTTAAGGTAAAAGTCTGCTTCCCATGTGGAGAATGTACTGTCCCAAGCTTTGCGGGTTTGTACAGCTGTTCTCAGAGCTACTTCTAGGGACTTGTAAATTTTCAGTTCTTCCAAGGTGGTATGATAAGAGGTGAGGTGTTTCCTCTCCACAGCCACAACAAGCTCCACCACACCAGCGTTCCTCCTCGCCCCAGGACTGCCCCTCAGAACTGTGACCCAGATCCAAGCACGGGCAAAGCAAGAGAACCCTGCCTCAGCACTGGCAAAGAGATTCCTGCAATCCCTCTCTGATCAGCCACACAATTCCCCCTCAGTCTGTGGACCGGAAGCTCAGGAGGCAGCCGTGGCCCGTGCTCAGGACTTGCAGCTGAAACCTAGCTTCTCTCTCTCACCACAGTCATAGACTTTTCCCACTGACCTTCTAAGTTGTCTTTGGCATTCGTGGGTTGAGACATCTGGAAACCACCACAGCTGTCCCCGATTCAGTCCTCTGAGGCCTGCTCCAGGGTCGCTACGGCCTGTGTGCCCACGCCGAACTGCGCTCCTCTCCCAGCCCTGCGTGATATACCTTTCTGATCAACCATTCAGGCTGTCTTGGGCTGGAAATTTGTTTCACTCTGTCTTTTTGTGGGTTCTGCTGCTTTAGAATTTGTTTAGAGCCATTTTTTATAGGTATTTGGAGGGGTTTGAGGGAAAGCTCAAGCAAGTCACTGCTTTCCCTCTGCCATCTTGGCTCCCCTATAAAGCAATTTTGAGGTTCCATGCCACACCTATTAGACTATCAAAAATGACAAATTTCACACAGATCATGGGAAAACAAAGACACTAGAATATTTTTCTAGCCATTCTGGAAAACAATTTGGAACTTGCCCAGAAAGTTACCACACTGTGCATAACCCCTGACCCAGCTGTACTACCAGGTCTACACTCTAAAGAAATCTAAGGGTGTGTCCTTCCTCCTATTGAGTAACGGCTAAACAAATTATGGCATGCTACTGTAATGGATTATTATTGTATCATAAGAAATGATCAGATGGATAATTTCAGAGAAAACTGGGAAGAATTTTATGAACTGTTGTAAATCAAAATGGACAGAACTAGAACAATTTATACAATGGTGACATTATTAAGGAAAAACAACTCTGAAAGACTGGACTCTGATCAATGAATTGATGAGCCATAAGTCCAAAAGAATGAAGATAAAACATACTTAATAGAGACAAACATTTCCTGATACACAGATGATGAACTCAAAATGCCGAAAGTAATACACATTTTTGGACATGGCCAATATGGGAATTTGTTTTGCTGCATTGTGTAGATAGGTATCAAGGGATTTGTTTCTTGGGTTTGTTTGCTTTTTTTAAAAAAAAATTCCAAAGAAGGGAAGGATAGTAAGAGGGAGAGATACTGATGAATAAAACAGTTGTTACTTGAAAAATAAAATAATTAACTATTAAAAAGGAAATGACTGTAACGTAAAAACAAAAGGCATTGATAATTTTGGGAAGACTTTTTTTCCACACACTTATAACTTTAAAAAGATAGCTATATTTTTTTTTCTTCTGGATTTTTTTATATGATCTCTTGTACTGCTAATCCACTTTGGAGATTATTCTGCTGAATTGTATAAGGTGCTTGTCAAAATCTGATTTTTGCCATGCTCCTTTCTAGTTTTCCCAGCAGTTTCTTCTGAATAGGGAACCCTTCCTTCTGTAGTATTTATTTGGGGATTTACTGAATGCTAAACTATTGTATTTATTTGTTTCTAGATCTTGCTTATTAAATTATTTAACTTATCTAATTTTCTAGTGTTTTATTTTTAAACCAGTACCAAAAAGATTGGTTGATTGCTGCTTTATAATATAACTTGAAATGTTAATGCTATGCCCCCTTAATTTATAATTTTTTCATTTCTTCCTTTGAAATTCTTGAACTTTTCTTTCTCCAAATGAATTTTGTTGTTTTTTTGCTAATACTGAACTCATTGTCTTTTCCCCTAAATCCTCCCTTCTTCCAAACTTCCTGATGTCTTTCAAAGGCACCACCATCATTCCAATTTCCCACATTCATAACCTTGGCATTTTTGTAGAGTCCTTATTCTCCCTCACCCTATATATCCAATCAATTGCCAAATTTTGCTGTTTCTACTTTCACACATCTCTTATGTCTAGTTCTATTTTATCCTAGAGGCAATAGGAAGCCATTGGAATTGATTGAATAAGAGAGTCATATGGTCAGGTCTACATTTAAGGAAAATTACTTTGGCAGATATGTGTAGAATGAACCAGCATCACGGTGGGGGGGGGGGGGGCGCCACGGGGGGGGGAGGGGAGTTATACTCGAGGCAGGGAGATCAATTAGGCCGATGTTGCAATAATCCAGGTACAATAGTGCATTGTTGATGGAGCTATGAATTGGTCCAATAATATGGGAAAGAAATTTAGAACTATGCACAGAAAGTTACCAAAATGTGTATACCTTTTGACCCAGCTGTACTGCTACTAGACCTATACCCAGAAGAAATCAAAGAAAAAGGGAAAGGATCTATAGATAAACAAATAAATTATAGACATTCCCTTCATGACAGCCCCAAATTGAAAACTAAGGAGGGGGATTTCCTATTAAAGAATGGCTAAGTAAATTGTGGCATATGGATATAATGGAATATTATTGTACCATAAGAAATTATGAAATGGTGCTTGCCTTGGCAGTGCATATACTATGATTGGAACAATACAGAGAAGATTAGCACGACCCCGAGCAAGGATGACACTCAAATTAGTGAAGTGTTCCATATTAAAAAAAAAGAAAGAAAAAAGAAAGAAAGAAGGAAAAAGAAATTATGAAATGGGCAATTTCAGAGGAAACTGGGAAGACTTTTATGAAGTGATGAAATCAAAGTGAGCAGAAATAGAATAATTTATACAGTAATAACATTGTAGAGAAAAACAACTCTAAAAGACTTTAGATATCTGATCAACGCAATGATTAACCGCAAGAATGAAGATAAAATACAACACTCATCTCTGACAGAGAAGTAATAAACTTAAAATGCAGAATTTTTGAACATGGCTAAAATGAGAATTTATTTTACTGGACTATGTAGATATGTTTTGGGGGATTTGTTTTTCTGATTTTAAAAAAGTGCTCAATGGCAGGGAGGGGAAGGGAGGAACAGATTAATTATTTGGAAGAAAGAAGAAAGAAAGAAAGAAAAAATATTTTTTAAAATAACCCAGGTGAGAGGTGATAGAGTCCTGAATTAAGGTAGTAGCTATGTGAATGGAGCAAAGGGGTTTGACATAAGAGATGTGTGAAAGTAGAAACAGCAAAATTTGGCAATTGATTGGATATATAGGGTGAGGGAGAATAAGGACTCTACAAAAATGCCAAGGTTATGAATGTGGGAAATTGGAATGATGGTGGTGCCTTTGAAAGACATCAGGAAGTTTGGAAGAAGGGAGGATTTAGGGGAAAAGACAATGAGTTCAGTATTAGCAAAAAAAACAACAAAATTCATTTGGAGAAAGAAAAGTTCAAGAATTTCAAAGGAAGAAATGAAAAAATTATAAATTAAGGGGGCATAGCATTAACATTTCAAGTTATATTATAAAGCAGCAATCAACCAATCTTTTTGGTACTGGTTTAAAAATAAAACACTAGAAAATTAGATAAGTGAAATAGTTTAATAAGCAAGATCTAGAAACAAATAAATACAATAGTTTATTCAGTCTGGCCCCAACCTACCTTTCCACCCCCATTAGACATTACTCCTCATGCTGAACTCTGCCATCCAGTCAAACTGCCCTTCTCTTTGTTTCTCACAAATGACAGCTCCACATGCCAACTCCATGGCTTTGCCCTGGCCATCCCGTGTGCGTGGAATGCTCAGTAACCGGAGAGGTTTGGGCTGTCTCTCTTTTGCCATCGGGGGAGCCTCCACCAGCTCAGTTTCTTTCATTTGTTAGGAGGCCAGTGACTAGTGACTTAGTTCCATTTAACCACTTAAAACCAGGCAGCCTTTACAAAGGCATATTCAAAGATATAGCAAGAACAAATGGACAAGCATGGCTCCCAGCTCCTCTGGGGCTCTCTCGGTCTCTGAGGGAGATTAGGTTGAAGATTTAACTCAGATCTTACACAGCATTGGTCCTACCACATTCATGTCCGAAGGCAGCATTGATGCCAGATGAGTCCTTCCAGTGGGATAGGACCCCAAATGTCACCCCCAAAGATTCTTTTTCCTGGGTCATTGCTATTGCTGTGGCTAAGGGCAGGACTGAATTCCAAATCCCAGATTCCCATGGCTTTTTCTCCCAATCTTTGAAACTGCCAAGGTCAGAGACTCCACTCCCTGCCCCTAAAACAGGACAGAATGGGCAGCTAGGTGGCGCAGTGGATAGAGCACTGGCCCTGGACTCAGGAGGACCTGAGTTCAAATCCAACCTCAGACACATAACACTTACTAGCTGTGTGACCCTGAGCAAGTCACTTAACCCCACTGCCTAACCAAAAAACAAAACAAAACAAACAAACAAACAAACAAAAAAACAACCCAGGAAAGTTAAAGGAAAAGACCAAGGAGGCCCCATTTCTCAGGGAGCAAATGGATTCAAAAGGGAAGAGGCCTAATGGCCCTTCCCCTTATAGTATAGTCTCCCATCAGACACTATGAATGAAGAAGTCACCTCATTCCTCCAGATGCAAATGCAACAAAGTTGGACTAGAGCTGACTCAGGCCTTTTTGAAGATGTTTACAATTCTTGCTACACAGCCAATGGAAAAAAGCTTCTCCCACCCATGTGATGGGCCAATTGGAACCTGCTATAGAATGTCTATGCATGTTCCAGTGTCTCCAAATCACTTTCCTTACATATCATCATAATTCTCCAGGAATCAACTCCCTATAGTCCTCCATATGGAAATGCCATTCTTAGAAAGCTGATGGGGTCTCTATATGTACCAGCCTCTCATTACGTTTATATTGCTCTATAGGTTTTGATATGTACTTCTTGCCTCCACTTTTAGAATGTGAGCTCCTTGTGAGCAGTAATTTCATTTTTGTCTTTGTGTCTCTAGAATATTGTCTGGCACATAGTAGGTGCTTAATAAATATTTGCTGATCAATAAATAATTCTGCAAAGCAATTTCTTGATGTTTTGATTAGTATTATACTAAATCTGTATATTAATTTAAATAGTATGATCATTTATTTATCATTTGTTTTAGAGTTGATTGTCATAGCTTCTATTGGGCATGGTCTGATTTAAGGCAATAAGGGGATTGCTCTATTTTGTCAAAAAAATTTTCTGCATCTACTGAAATAGTTGTTATTAACAATGTATGATTGATTATATTAAGTAATTGATGTTCAGTGTTCCCTTGTATAAGCACAACTTGGTCATAATGAATAATTTTTAGGATATGTAGCTGTAGTCTCTTTGTCAAACCTTTATTTAAAATGTTTGCATCAGTATTTCTTAGTGCTATTAATCTTAGTTTTCTTTTTCTGCCTTATTCCTTCCTAGTTTGGACATGGGGACTATACTGGTCTCTCAAAAGGAATTTTATAGAATGCCTTCTTTCTCAATTATTGAGAACAATTCAAAAAATATAGATATTAAGTATTTTTTAAATATTTTATAGGATTAAAATGAAAATCCATCTAGATCAGGGTGTTATTTCCCATTTTAATAGTTCTTTTATGGCTTACCAGATTTCTGTTTTGGAGATTGGATCACAGTTTCTTATTTTCTTAATCTGAGTATTTAATATGTATGTGGGTAGTCATCCATTTAAGTTCTCAGTTTTCCTAGTGTATGATTGTGTGTAATAGTTTCTGATAATCCATTTATTTTCCCTCTATTCATTGCAAATTTGCCTTGTTAATTTTTTTTATTTTGGCAATTTGACTTTCTGGTCTATTTTTTAAATCAAATTAGCTAGTGGATTATTGATTTTGTTGTTTTTTTAAAAGCACTTGCTTATCAGTACCCTTTATTGTTTATTTCATCAATATTTCCTCTGGATATTCAAATATTTGTTCTTGGGATATTTATTTACTTGCTAGATTTTTTAATCATAGGATCAATTTCTTAAACTTCTTTTTTCATTTAAAATATATTATTTCAATAATATAAAATATATTATTTCAATTTAAAACATTATTTCAGAAATATAAATTTTCATCTGAGGACTACTTTTTTTTTAGTATTTTTTTCCAATTACATGTAAAGACAATTTTTAACATTCATTTTTTGAAAGATTTTGAGTTCCAAGTTTTTCTCCCTCCCTCCTTTCCTTCCCCCCTCCCCAAGATGGCAAGCAATCTGATATAGGTTGTATATGTGCAATAATACAAAACATATTTCCACATTAGTCATGTTGTGAAAGAAGAAACAGAGCAAAAGGGGAAAAAAAACCACAAAAACAAAAAATTTTAAAAAAGTGAAAAGAGTATGCTTCAATTTGCATTGACACACCATCAGTTTCTTCTCTGGATGTAGGTAGTATTTTCCATCATGAATCTTTTGGAATTGTCTTGGATCATTGTACTGCTGAGAAGAGCTAGATCAATCATGTTGCTGTTACTGTGTACAATGTTTTCCTGGTTCTGCTCACTTCACTCAGCATCAGTTCATACGTGTCTTTCCAGGTTTTTCTGAAATCTGCCTGCTCATCATGTCTTATAGCACAATAGTATTCCCTTACATTCATATAACACAGCTTGTTCAGCCATTACACAATTGATGGGCATCCCCTCAATTTCCAATTCTTTGGCACCACAAAAAGAGCTGCTATAAATATTTTTGCACATGTGGGTCCTTTTCATTTTTTTATGATCTCTTTGGGATACAGATCTAGCAGTAGTTGAAGACTACTTTTGCTACATCATGTAAATTTTTGTATATTCTTTCCTTTTTTTAATCATTATCTTAAAATGATTATTTTTCCCCCTCTGATTTATTTGACCAATTCTTCATGAGCTGATTACCCTGAACAAAGCTCATTTCCACTCTGAGTTACCCATAGTGGCCTGCTACTTAAGCATCAGGCTGTACTTGTAGCTACTAATGGTTGTTTTGTACTCAGGTGATTAGGACGAGATGTCAAAAGTTTAATCCTTTAGTATCCCAAGAATCAACTCTTTAGGACAATAAAAGCAGATTCCTTTAGCATTAGGCAAGAAAGATACACATGTGAACTGCACCTCTTCCACCTAGTGGAGAAAAGCAGAAACTGAAAGAGAGAGAGAGAGAGAGAGAAAGAGAGTGTGTGTGTGTGTGTGTGTGTGTGTGTGTGTGTGTGTGTGTGTGTG